AAATTTCCTTACATCGATGTCATCATAAGGTAGACCCTGTGGTTCGTTTTCGTGTGAGATAACCCCAGGATCGATATTTAAATGCCGACGGTTACGAATTAAAGTTCTACCATTATTTAACTTTATGAGATATGAACGTTGACCCACTAATGATTTAATAACTCCGCTGAGCCATTGCTTATTTTTTCGCACTTTAACTCTTTGACCTACATTTAAGGTACACATATCTCTTGCTCTTTTATCATAATAATATTTTTGTTGCATTTGTCTATGATTTAGTTTACGTTTAACGTTTCTATGGATAAATGGACGCAGTAGTCGTGGTGCACAGGGAATGATTGTTCTTAACTTTCTGCTGTTCAATAACTCGGACGGTGAAGGTAAATCACCACTGATTGGCGTGTTTTAGGTATTGAAGTAAAGCAAGCCGGAAATCAGTGCGGTCGAATTGAGTCTTTTTCATAATATTTTTTATTGTTTGTATAGCTCTTTCAACTTGACCATTTGATTGTGGATAACGAGGTGATGATGTTATGTGTTTAAAATTCCATTCGCGTGCAAATAATTTAAAATACTCCGAATTGTACTCTGGGCCGTTATCGGACATAACAACATCAGGGATACCGTACCTAGCAAATATATTTTTTAATTGGTCTATAATAATTTCACTCTTTAATGCGGGAACTTTTACTACTTCTATAAATTTGCTGTAATAGTCTATCACAATTAAATACTTTTCACCTTGGAAATAAAACGAATCCGTCCCTATCTTTGACCACGCCCTGTTTGGTATTTCGTGCGGTATTAACGTTTCTTTTCTGTTTTCGTTTTTGAAAGTAAGGCACGCTTGACATTTACCTATATAATCTGCCAACTGGCTGTTAATGTTGGGCCAAAAAACATGCTTTCTCTTATTCGTAACTTACATTTCTCTAATCCTAAATGTCCTATATGAATTTTTTCTTAACATTTCGCTTCTCATACTTTTAGGTACAACTACTTGGTGTCCTTTCCAGACTAATCCATATGACGTGGACAACTCATCCTTATAACACCAATAAGGAGCCACAGTTGTGCATATGTTTTGTTTATGTTCAGGCCAACCATCTCTTATATACTTAATTAATAACTGTAACTCACTATCGTTTTGTGTATCGTGCTGTAACTTAAGAAAATGAGTATCTGTTAGAGGATTTGACGTAATTATTGCGTTTATTTGTGCTTGATCATTAAAATAGTTTTTTAAATCATGCTCTGTGTGACTTATCGGTTCTGCATCACGTGACAAGGCATCCGCAATATACAAATATTTGCCTGGTTTATACACTAAATTAAATGTATATAATTGTAAACGCAACAACATTCTTTGCAGTCTGGCAGGTGCCGTTGCAATCGGCTTTGCTATTATATGTATCAAAGGTTTATGATCAGTTTCAATTGTTATATCTGACTTACCGTATATATAGGAATAATACTTCTCACACGCAAAGACACACGCTAATAGTTCTTTTTCTATCTGAGCATAATTTTGTTCAGCTTTTGAAAGGGATCTAGATGCATAGCTAACAGGTAGATTATCTTGTAATAAACATGCCCCGAGCCCGTTCTTACTTGCGTCTACCGATATAACTACTGGCTTGTTCACATCATAATACTTTAATACAGGAGCGTTGATAAGGCACTTTTTTATGCACTCAAATGAATTTGATGATCACGTGACCAATGCCATTCTATTTCTTTCTTTAAAAGTTGTCTGAGGATATGTGTTTTCTCTGACAAGTTTGAAACAAAGCTACCAACATAATTAACCAAACCTAAGAATCTTTCAAGATCTTTTTTATTTTTTGGCGCCGCCATATGTTTTTATAGCAGACGTATGAGATTCGTCCGGATAAATGCCATTTTGTGTAATTTTATGACCTAAATACTTAATTTCTTTTAATGCAAATTTGCACTTTTCTACGTTTAATTTTAAATTAATTAATCTACATCTATCCAAAACTAGTCTTAAGCGCTCGTCATGTTCTTGTTTCGTTTTACCATATACTAATAAATCATCCACAAACAAACATACACCTTCCAGGTCATCAAAGTGTTCATACATTCTTTTATGATGAAAACTTCTGATGCCGAAGTAATACCGTACGGTAATCGTAAAAATTTATACCTTCCGAAAGCTGTATTAAATGTACATAAGTCAGTGCTCTTTGGGCTTAGTTTTTAATTGCCAAAACCCATTCTTGGCATCTAATGTACTATAGAACTTTGAACCCGCCAAGTTTGTCGTTATTTCATCTAACGTTGGTAAATGGAAATATTCGCGTTTTATAGCTTTGTTCAGATCTTTGGGATCCAGACAGATGCGTAAATCACCGTTGGGTTTCCTTACCACTGTCATGCTATTAACCCATCTGCTAGGTCCTTCGACTTTGGTTATAATTTGTTGTTTTTCCATTTCATTTAATTTATTTTTTATGCTTTCTTTAATGGCTATCGGTAACTTGCGCGGAGGATGTACAACTGGACGTATAGATTCATCGATACATATTTCATACTCACCTGGCATGCAACCCAATCCTTCAAAAAAATAATCAATGTATTCATTAATTATTTTATACTTAAAATTATTATTACAGTTATTTTCTGTTACTGCAAGTGTAAGCTTTACTAAATTTAATTCCTGACACGACTGACAACCTAAAAATAGGCGGTGAACTCACGTCCGCCACAATGAAATCTAGTATATAGTCAACATTTTTATATGTTACTTTAATACAACATTGACCGACTACTTTAATGTCACTTCCAGAGCATCCACGTAGTTTTATTGAGGTTTTGTTTAGAGTTCCCTTTTCTATGCCTACTTGCGTTAAATATTTACTTGGTAGAACATTCACATCAGCACCAGTGTCTAATTTAAAAGATATATCAACATTATTAATTGACAATTTTATAGACCATTTATTACTTTGCTCATTGAAATAATATATTACCTGATTAGAATATTCCTCGGCTTGCAGCTCGAATACTTTTTTACAAACTCGCGAAAAATGATTAAAGTTATTACACTTCAAACATCTTTTGCCATATGCCGGGCAATATCTATTTACATGCACTGTCCCACAATTTTTACACTTCGCGTTTGTAGCACGTACACTTGTTTTTGATCTTTATATTTTGTAAAGTTCGATGATGAAGATGACGCGTGCGAAAGGCCTCGGCCGCGCCGCGCTGAGTCACCGGGGCCACGTCGCGCTGTAGTTCCTCGCCGTGATATCCAAAATGCATAGCCGTCGTCAGACTCGGTGCAATTACTCTGATCTTGATTGTTGTTGATTTTTACAGCACTATATGCATTATGTTCGGAATTCTGCGACTTTATTGATCCTGCTTGTACTTTAGACATTTGGGCAAGGTTGCAAATATCTAAAGTTTTTTGTAATGTTAGGTCTGGTTCACGTAACGTAATCTTTCTCTTAAGGCGTTTTCCTTTATTCCACATATTAATCTATCTCGAATCAATTCTTCACATAAATTATTGAATTCACAATTTGCCGCCATTTTCTTTAATTCAAAAGCATACTGTTCTATTGATTCACCTTCCAATTGTTCACGGGTAAAGAAGCGGTGTCTTAACACAGTGATGTTTTTCTTTTGTTTAAAAAATGCGTCAAATTTTTTCAATTAACTTTTCAAATTTTAAAATATTTTCGTTCAATTGATTATATACTTCACGACATTGTTCCCCTACTAAGTGTAAGAATATGTTTATTTGTGCTTTTTCACTTTTTTTTTGGCGATAATTCACAAGCCTCATAGTAAATCATATATGCACTTTTCCATTTTTTTCCAATCTTCGGAAATATTTCCTGACGTAACATTTTCCATATTATTTACATAATAAAATGGCGGCGGCGGTGGAAGTACCGATTCCATTTTATATATTCCAATGGCGTTCTTTTCGTATCTTTTCAGAGATTATTTTCGTATCTTTTCTTTATTCGTTTATTTCACCGAAAATTTCAACTTTAAGAGTACAATTAATTAAGGTATACCGACTGCGCCATGTCGTGTACGGGGGACACGTAAAGAAACACCGAGATTCACATGCTAACTGTCTTTATTATTGCTGCGCACTTACCCTCCACATTTATAATAAATATACCGTCAACATGAAGTAATGGAATGAGCTTTCAATTTGATAAATAGCAAGATTCATATTAAATTAGCTCTAGCCGCTATTTAGCTTTGCAATAATCAAACGGCAAAGTTTTATCATCTTGAAACGTTTACTATCTATTAATGCGTTTCGAGACTACTTCAAGAAAGTTCAACTTCGTGAAACATGCCACTAACTTTTTATGCAACTTGTTATCGCTACTACGTACTATCCGGGTTGGATACTGGTAACTGTATTTCGTGTAAGGCTGAAACTAAATTCAGTTATGGAATACGCGAATGCAAATGTGGAACTATTGAAATATCGGCCCAGTGGATGTTTCATTTTCGACTATCGGCTGTACCATGACCCATATAAAAATATATATCAGGAGTAGAAAAATGTAATCTTTTGCATTTGTTAATCATTTTAACGTAGAGGATATGTGCAGGATTGTACATAATAGAGGCTATGTAGAGGCTACGAGGCTGCGTAAATTTTATTAATAACAAATACCCATACATTAGGCTCAGCTCTTGCTACGTTTTATATATCAGCTGAGAAATGAGAACTCTCCAGGGAATAAAGGCGTGAGCGTATTACATTGTAAATCTGACAACGCCGTTATAATATGATAATGTAAATAACTTCTTGTATTTACGCGAATAGTGGATATCGTTAAATAAAACTGTTTTAGATATTTCATCGCGTTTTATTTTTACGTTCCCGATGAGTCAAATAATCGGGTTATTATCAAATATTTTAATATATTAATTTATTTCAGTGTTTGCCTCGGCTTGACCTTTCGGAGATTACTTACCCTTCCTAAACACGCACACATATGCTAGCTACTTACTATGATCTGTCTCTGAATGGATTCAAGGCCCCCTCGAAGGGTGCGCGGGGAGAGGCGGCGGCAGGCGCGGGTTGCGTCACCGCGCTCTCGTCAGTACGCTTATGTTTTCCTAGCGTGCGCACGTATGCTATTTGCTTTTGCGTAATTGCTTAATATGAATATAAGTTATTATTGTTTAAAGTGTTTCAACGTTGCTGTAACGTTACTCATTGGATATAGTGTAAGCAATTTCATTTTGTCTCAGTTTGTATGTATTTTTCTGTTTAAGGTGCGGATTCGCCTGTAAAAGAAGATTCTTGGCTTTGGCTCCATGCTTTATAGATTTACCAGTGTTACGTGTCATGTTTGTCGGACACATCATCCACAAACGTTGTGTTAAGCATTTTTCGTATTTGTCGGACATGCCATCCACAATATACGTACTGAATACTACATTTCAGCCCACAAAACTGTGGCTGCAATTTTTCGACATGTCGGCCAATCAGCCACTGTCTTACTGATGGATACCCGAAAGGTTAACAGCACGCGTCTAAAATTTGGAGCGGAGCGCCTCGAATATTTGACGGCGCCCCTCAAAAATTAAGCGGTGCGGCTCAAAAATCGGGCAGCGCGGCTCAAGAAGTGGGCGGCGCAGCTCATAAAATCGGCCGGCGCGGCTTAAAGATCGGGCGGCGCGGCTCAAAAATCGGCCGGCGTGGCTCAAAAAAATCGGCCGGCGTGGCTCAAAAATTGGGCGGTGCGGCTCGAAAATTGAACGGCGCAGCTCATAAAATCTTGAGCTTTTGTTCAATTCTTGGACTTCAAAACAAAAGTCTTACGAGTTGTTTGAGCTTTTCTTTTCTTGATTATTTGACTACGGCCTCTGTTTTGGCATCAGATGGCTCAACAGGCAGGTATTGTCACCGTAGGCGAGCTTGTGGATGAGCACGCAGAGACGGAGCAAGATGAAAAGTTGTTGGAGCGTGTAAAAGTTTTGGTACAAGAGCATCTTCCAACCACCCGTTGGACTCGCTGGGAGGTTTCCACCGCCACGAGAGAAGACGTTTCTGGAGAAAAGCTCGAATCAAATGTGCTAAACAAGCTCATATTTGCCTTGCCTACTGTTGGCTTAGTCTGGGATTTCATACCAGAGGCGGATCGTCTAACGGAGAAGGGATATAGAGTGCAAACTGTTAGATTGGGCGTTCACTCAGGCCCTCATTCTAGGTCCGGCAGCCGTGGCAAACCGCATCCGAGCCTCAGCAGTACGCACTGAGCTCGTTAAGAAGTCTGTTCAAAACAAGAGCAATTCAAAACTTCTACATACACGAGTTGAAGCGGACAGGATACTGGCGGGCAATCTTTCTCAGTCTGAAGGAACTTGTCGTAAGCGGAGGATTTTCTTAATGAGCAGTAGAGCCAGAAAGAAGCGTAGAAAGAGGTCTCCTTTAATGTCCAGGCATGATGCGTTAGAGAGGAAGATGGATAATATGTACACCATCCTCATGGAAAAGATCGAAGCGGTTCAGCCTTCAGAAAATCGAACGCACCCTGAGTTAGATTCCGATGATGATTGCTTAGGCTCTGGGGACATTAATTCGGAAGGCTCTGACGTCTGTTCTTCGTGGAGGACCCCAATAAGTCACTAGGAAGAAATATCTTCTCTTAGACCGGAGGAGAAACCACTTTCTCCATCAAAATTTGATTTCCTACCACAGGTAAAACAAGCGGATCCACTGATCCCAGATACCACCACACAGATAAAGAGGAAAGGCATCGAGTGCCAGCGGTTGGGGCATGTCTCCATATATACCCCTCGGTGGAACCGAATCCGTTACAAAGAAGTGGACAAGCTCCTTCTAGCGGCACCAGTTTTTTAGCACACTAAAACTGAATATAGAGTTGAGCTCAATTGCGCTGCCATCAGCTTGGCTTTTAAAGCAAGACGGATTGCTAGGTACTATTGTCCGTGGACTCCTCATGCAGAGGCCATTCTCTGGCTGAGAATTTCAAAGAGATTTCCAAAAGATGTCCGGAGGCCGCAGAACAAATGTGATGTGTTCTTGGAAAGGACTCCCAGTTAAGGAAATTATCCGATAACATAATTCAATACGTGTGTGCTCATCGAGCAGAAACTTTTGAGTTTAGACGAAGAGCCTTCAAGCCCCGTAATAGAGGGTTAGTTGCGGCATTGTAACAGATTTCCCCTTTGGTGTCTCACCCTTTCTATGAGAAAAAGTTCCCAGCATTTGTGAAGATTTGTAATGGGGGAGTAAGTCTTATTTTACATACCAGAGACAAATGTCCAGATAAAGGTTCATTTCCAAGAGGCGGTTTTCGAAAACCAACGCAAGCTCCAACACAGGCTAAGGGTAAACGAAATCCTTGGAATGCACGGTCTATGGCGTCAGGCAAGCCCTCGTCCAGTACGTCTGCCTTCCGTTCCAGCCAATCCAAACAAATAGGGAAACAGTGTAGAAATAAAGGACGGTCACAGGCCAATCGCAGATATTGACGGTTTTCGGGGAGGGCAGCTAGGGGTTATACATTACAATGGGAGAACTTACAAGCTCCAAGAGCAGTCCTAAAGATAATTTCAGGTTACGCGATTCCTTTTGTAACCAAGCAGCCGTCCATTCCTCTATGCGGGAAATCTCGGTTCGCAACAAAAAAGTCAGAAGCGATGACCAACGAATTAGAAGAACTTCTAAGATCTCATAAGCCTCTACCGGTTTACTGTAGCGGATGTTTCTCATACCAAAGTCAAACGGAAAGCTCTGATAGATCTTCGATATCCGTCGTCTGAACGCATTTCTCAATCCGCCAAAGTTCCGCTTGATAAAATCACATGCAGGTTCCCAATATTCTACAAGAGGGCGACTACTTAGGGAAATTACACATCAGTAAGGCCTACTTTCATATACCGATAAGAAAGAGTCATCGAAGGTATCTGTCTCTCCTTTACGAGGGGGATCCATTCGAGATGACATCTCTACCGTTTAGCCTGTCCAGCGCGCCATTGGCTTTTTCTCTCGTTACCAAATGGCTCGCAAGAGTTTTGAGAAGACAGGGATTAAGAGGATTAAGAGAGGGAGTATATTTGGACGACTTTCTCTTTGCCCATCAGGATCCTGCTGTTCTAGAGGATCAGTTAAGGCTGGCTGTAAAGTTTCTTCAGCATATAGGCTGGTGCGTAAACTTAAAAAAGTCAGTTATAAAGCCAAAGAGGCAGATAGAATTCTTCGGTATCGTGTGGGACGCAGCGACAAACCCGATGAATTTGCCAGACGCAAAAAGCGCGATTAGTGAGGAACCTAGAAAATATTCACAAAACCGGTCGATGGTCTTGGAAGTCAGGCACAGCCCTATTAGGAAGACTATGTTTCGCAGCCTTGGCAACTCCCTTGGGTAGTCTTAACACCAGGCAGATTCAGATGGCCAGTCGAAAACTCTCCGACGAGCACCCCAAGAAGAAGTTTGAAGTTCCCTCATCAGCACATGCAGATTGCCAGTGGTGGATCAAGCATATCAATACTCCGGACAAAATCTTAATTCCGGAACTGACGTGCTCATAAGCACAAATGCGTCAAACCCATACTGGAGTGTTCAACTTGGATATCACTCTCTATCGGGTCAGTGGTCAGAGAACCAGTTGAGTTGGCACATAAACAGGAAAGAGCTCTTTTCGGTGCTTGTAGCTCTCTGTCGCAGTTTCAAGAAGCGATTCGAGGTTGTTCAGTGATGGTGCAATCCGACAACAGGACGGTAATCTCTTACCTGAGAAATCAGGGAGGAACACGGTCAATCGTTCTTCTAGAAGCAACAACTTGAAGTTAGCCGACAGTGTAGACGTGACGCTTCATTCTTTCTATCTGCCTGATCGCTACTATATAATAGCCGATTGCCTATCGTGCGGAAACGGGCTTCCAGATTGACACCTCAAGGGGAACGTTGTGAAAAAGATTTTCAAGAAATGGGGTACCCCTCAAGTGGAGTTTTTCGCCACGAGTCAGTCAACGGTTGTTCCAGCTTATGCGTCAATAGAGGCAATCATTTTCAGCCGAGATTGGCAATACAATCTTGCTCGGGTTTTTCCACTGCCGCCCCTGATCCCCAGGGTGCTTCGTCATCTCAACAAGTCGTCTGGGACTTTTCTTGTAGAAGTTCCTCGATGGGAAGCAGTGATCTGGAGAAACGACTTGAAGCGACGGGCTCTGGGGGCTCCTTCTCAAATTCGCAATTTGAAAGTGTCTGATAGGTCTGTCTGTCAACCGCCCATCTTCACAAGTGGAAGATCTGCTAGACGTCTGGCGGAGTGAACTAGTCGTTGGCCTAGATCCAAATGACGTTAAGCATTTGCAATCAGCGTGGAGAGATTCCACTTGGCGCACTTACAGTTCCGCATGGAAGCAGTGGGTATCTTGGTACAAGGAAAGGGAAAAAGAACCCAACAATCCTAAACCTCAAAACGTCGCCGCTTACTTAGGTTATTAACTCGAGCCAAATATTTGGTATACCCTACAATTCTAGTTCACATCAGTAATTCTAAATCTTTCTATTCCTAGTCAAGAGAAACGACTTGCCAGTCACCCTTTGATAACAACCCTTCTAAAGGCGATTAGTGTAAAGAAATGCTTCTTTGCGAGGTCAAAATCATAGATATGGAACGTTCAAGATCTCCGTCAGTGGTTACGATCGTATGTCCCGGCTGACGATAATATTTTTCAAGTATCTAGACACCTTTTATTTTTACTTCTGATAGCTTCAGGACGCTGTATTCACGATTAAACTATTCTAGATATTGACGAACACCATTGTGAAAGAGCCAATTCCTCCATAACCTTTTGGCCCAGGTTTGAGTCCAAAACGGACAATGCCAATTACCGCCCATCTGGATGGCACCTAATTTATTCTGAAGATCCAGTGCTTAGCTGGACTAGCTGGGTTAATCGCTTAATCGAGTTAGCAGCCAATAGGCGATGAGCGCGAAAGGATCTATTCAATCTGTTTATCACGACACGAGGTGAAGTAAACGCAGCGTCAAGGTTCGTGATTGCTGGATGGCTCAAGACGACTTTTAAGAGCTAAGCAGGCATAGACTCCGGTCCCGGGTCCATAAGATCAGCAGTAGCTTCGAATGATTTCCAATTTAATGTCCCGTTAGACATGATTCTGCAACGGAAAACTGGAGAGGCTCACGACGCGTCTTTAAGCATTACTGCAAATCAGTAGAGCGTAAGCAGGACCCCAATGCTAATGTTTTAAATAGTTCCTTTAAGGCTGTTGAGTGAACACTAGCTAAAGCATTTATAAACTATTATTGATGTATATTTTTATGGTACACGTCCTGGAATCATTATTAATAAATTAAATCATTATTAATAACGCTATCGAGTCGTTTTCAAGTCTGATTAAAGTTTAATTAGCTAGCCTAATAAATGTGATTTTAGTTTTAACGAGTACCTACTCTAATAATTAAAATCTTTAGGTATGAAAATACTTAGATTATAAAGTTTTATTCTTTAATATGAACTTAATATTTTCTTTATGTCCATTACAAGGACTTATTTCAGTCCCCACCCCCAGTCACAGTACGCTTTGGAGCGCCGGCAGATTATAAAACGACCTTACAATGACTTATTCAGTCACCAGTCACACAGTACGCTTTGGAGCGCCGGCAGATTATAAACACTTTTTCGAAAGGTCAAGCCGAGGCACACTGAAATACGACCGTTTTCCACCCCATGGAGCCCCGCCAAAGCCACCCCAAAGGGAAGAAAACGGTCGTATTCCGAAATAAAAATTATACATTCGCGGTAGTATCTTGAGGTGTTGCAGTGTTGGCGTATTTAGATTTAATTTTGTAAATGAGGTACACGATGCGTGGCTGATGATATACGTCGTGTATATCTCGCTGCACAACTCTGATGTCCCGAAGTATAGGGTTCACTGCCCCCAGAGCAACTGTACGTCAAAGTTCTTCTTTTTTATTTACGTCACAGAATCTATCGTCTTCTTATAAATTAATCTTATTATTAGAAATTTAAAGTTTTTTTATAGTGCTAATCTCTGCACTTAAGATTAAACATTAAACCTTGTATAAAAGTGCGAAAAGATTGTCGCCGCTGTGGGAATCGAACCCACGTCTTCGGCATTCGTGGCCTGACGCTTTAGCCAAAGTTATATATAATTATGTTTTAATAATCTTATTATTTTATACTGTAGTTTACAACATGGTTACAATGTTTATGTATCCTTATATCTCTATTTTATCTGTTATTTATATGTGTCATGTAGCACAAACGAAGATTTTTAGTCAATGCATCGAGAATCTTACGACGACACTAAATAATTGGTTGAATTGGAAATATATTTTATTTCGCCAAAATCTTCTCCCGAGATTTCACTAATTAATCACTTAACTGTCTACTTCAGTACCATTTTATTGTTAGACATTTTGTTAACTTGAAACAAACTTAAAAGGGTCGGAAGTATGTCTTTTCTGTGACAGATACACCGTTGTGTTGTTCTAGTTTATAAACTAACTAACCAATTTAATTAGAGCTGTTTTAGGGTCAAGTGAGTATTTCTTCAAGGCTGTTTGCATAACGTTGTAACAATTTCTAAAATATTTAATTTTATAACTTTTTATAACTTTCATTAATTTATATAAACACATTCTGATGAAATAATTATTATATACATTTCAGTATATTTTAGTTAAAAAATCTGTGTAAGACTATCAAACATCTCCCGAAACTCAGTGTGAACACTAAAGGTTTAACACCCATCAATTCAAATAATTTTATCAGTTATTGTCCCTAAAATGGTCTCATAAATATTTTCTTCAAATAATGACACATACAAACTTAATTTTGTATTAAGAATAAAAACTGGCAAATTCAATGGAAATAAAAATTGAGGGTAGAGGTGGACGAAAAAAGAAAAGTATGAACACGACCTGGAAACCGAAATAAGCTTTATCTGAAAGTGGCTTTTACTTAGTGTTAGTTTATCAATCGGTCCATCCATTACGTTTACTATTCCTACAGCGGCTACACAAAATGTCTGTGTAACCTAAATTAGTCTACAGATCGATATTTTCAATTGATCATTTCATTAAAATTTTCCTATTTCCACTTAATTGAAAGATGGCAACGTATCTGCAACCCTACGGGGTCGCAGATTTCCAGGGGCGGCGGTTATCACTTAACATCTTGTGAAACGCCAGCTCGCTAACCATCCTGTAACATTAAAAAATACCTTACATTCGAGATTATCAGTGTGACACCTCTAGAAAATGACCACGGCCACGCGAATGTACATGCTTCTTGCTGTGAATGCTTCTACTGCTGCATGCAGTAGAAGCATTCACAAGCATTGTACATTCGCGTTTCATTTAGCGATTAAGGAGAGGTCACTGTTTTTAATTTTTTCAAATCATCCAGAATAGCTGCTGTAGATGGCCATCGGCAGCAGTAGACGAATCGCCTGCTAATTCATTAAAGTTTCTTATGAGAGAAAAGGTGTTCAATTACCTTTTTGCTTATGATTTGTACTGTTTTAACGCTAATATAAAGACGACCAGAAGAAATATGTGCTATTCCTTTTTTAAAGTAGGAACGTATTTTCTCTATAAAAAAATGAATACATCATTACCAGTAATAGGTCTTGTTCCACTAGGAGAAAATACAGCCACATTTTTTCACACAACTCATAGCGTACACGCCGTGGCAAAAAGCCATAACTTACGGTTATCAGCGCACGCGTTGCGTTCCTGTGAATTATGAAGTGAACGGGCGGACTTGCATTCTAGCTCGGGTGAATAAAAGTTAAAACAATTTTCATTCTAATTCTGGTGCATAAAATTTACAACACCTCCATATAAACCTTTTGATTTATTCATAAAATACCGCGATGGTCCATAATAAAAGGCATGTATGAAAATATACATACATGTTACGGACAAGATGTGATGTACGAAGCTGGCGTGAGGCCTGCTTTTAAAACGAGTAGCAACCCCCATGCCTCGGACATAATCTCGACCAGCAAAGGCTGGTTGGTGGTAAGGATGACCAACGGCCATCCCTAACTACGGACAAGAGAAATAAAAGGACTCCGCGCCAGGTAAATCAACAATGAGGCGTCGTACGATCTATGTGTGAGTGATAAAGTATAATAAATCAACCAGTTAAAATATTGTCTTGCATGTGTTTTCTGGCAGTTCTTTTTTTACACAATTTCACTACACACGATGACAGCACTATATTTATAAAATTAAAATAAAACCTGCATAGACGTTGTGCGGCCCAATAGAGGGCGATCGGTTTACTATGATATACTTAATTATGTATGTACAAACTTACTTTGCTTCACTGTCGATAAAAGAAGCGCAGAGTCCTGTTATTTCATTAGTCAATGATTTTTTTATGTGAGAATATAGGAAACGAACTGTCGGTTCACCTGATATTAGTTGTCAACCGCCGTCCATAGACATGCAACACCCGTTTGAAGATGCGTTGCCACCTTTTAATTAAGTGGACCCGGCTACCTCACTCACGGCTACCCCACTCACCAGACGAAACACAGAAGTGCAACACTTCTACTTCGCGTCGGTCTTCTGTGAGATCGTGGTACTTACCCGGATCGACCTGCCCATTCGTGCAACCGTGAAAAATGTTGCGTGGCCTTAAACGGCCCACAGTCCGTGATACATAAATATTTGTTGATGACTGTAGCACGGTATTATTTATTCACTGTGATAAGCCCAAGTGTTAGTAAACATATGCCAAACAAAGTCAAATTCAAAAGGCAATACATATTAAACGGTATTTTTTTAGTTTAATGACTCTTTACCGTTTGAAAAGCCAACCAGAATGCGATAGCTTAGTAATTTATCTGTTTGCATTAACTAAATTAACTGTTCACATACGAAAATATGTATCGACATAAAGGCAAAAATTCTTTAACCTCGACCCACGAACAAATGTAACGCGTATTTTTCCCAGCATTGCTTTAACGTGCACCATTTGTAATGGGGCACCGTTTGTTTCCAGTAGAACGTTAGTTTTATCTCCACTTGTTTTAGGTAACTAGACTATGCAGCAACTATATCTGATTGGATTATTTTCATGTGCTTATAATATATCATAAATTACCCAGTTTTTAGGGAAGAACCTTGAAGAAGACAGCCTACTCCTTAAAAACCGGAAACGCAATTGTGACTCAAACGATGTTGCAAGCGTCCATGGG